ACGCCCCAGCCTCAGATGAAAGTGGGATTGCCTGTGTTGATTGTTCAAGTGACCTGTTACCTGAGGAGTTAAGGGGTGTCTGGGAGCCACGAAAACCCTGTCCCCTTGCACTGACCCCCATCGGCAGTCTCTAGGGGCCTCCTCTGCTCTAGGGGCCTCCAGAGCCAGGTGCTGGCTGAGCGAGGCCAAGCTGCCAGGCTGGTGGGGTAACCACGCCTGCTTCTCCATGCAACAAGGCAGCTGGTATTTTAAAAAACAACCCTAGATGATTTTGCATTTACTTATTTTACTTTTTTAAAGATTTCTTTTTAATCCTCACCTGAAGATATGTTTTATTATTTTTATTATTGATTTTAGAGAGAGAGGAAGGGAGAGGGAAGTGGGAGAGACAGAAACATTGATGTGAGAGAGAAACATTGATTGGTTGCCTCCCACACAAGCCCCAACCAGGTATTGAACCCACAACCTAGGTAGGTGTCCTAACAGAGAATTGAACCTGCAACCTTTAGGTATATGGGACGATGCTCCAACCAATTGAGCTACCAGCTGCCAGTTGATATTTTTTAAAAGCCCCAAGACCAAAATAATAAACCATCAGGGTGGTGTTCTGGGTTGAATTGTGTGTCCCCCAGTAAAGCTGTGTTGAAGCCCTAACCCTCAGAGCCTCAGAATGTGACCTTAGCTGGGAATAGGATCATTGCAGGTGTAGTCGGGAAGAAGAGAAGGGGAATGGGTCCCTAGTCCGCTATGACGGGTCCTTCGAGGAAGGCCCTGTAAGGACAGACACACACACAGGCTGGGGGGAGCATGTGATGACGAGCACCATAGACTGCCCGCAGAACCTCAGAGGCCGAGAGAGGCAGGAGGGACCCTCTACACCTACAGCCTCAGAGCGAGCTTGCGGCTGCCTACACCTTGCAGGCTTCTAGCCTCCTGAACTGAGACAATACATTTGTTGTTTAAGCGCCCACCATCATGTTGAGGCAGCCGCAGGAACTGTGCAGGCGGAACAAAGGGGGCATGAAATGACCTGGAGACCATCAAGTAGGATGAGTGAATGAATGAACCTGACGTACCCACAGACAGATGCAGCCATTGCAGGCCAGAGGTGCTTTTACATCTGTCACTCAATGTCCCCACTTCACAGACGACGAAACCGGGGCTCAGAGGGCTGACGTGTGATTCCAGTCTGGAGCACCTGCCAACCACCTCCCGCCTCTGCAAACGCGTTACAGATGCGTGCAAACACAGTGCTCTGCCCCTGGGGTGTGGCCAGATTAGACAGGCATCCCCATTTTATTTACTTATTTATGTATTTTTATTGATTTCAGAGAGGAAGGGGGAGATAGAAACATCAGTGATGAGAATAATTCATCTGCTGCCTCCTGCAGGACCCGCCCCACACTGGGATGGAGCCTACAACCCAGGCATGTGCCCTGACTGGGAATCGAACTGTGACCTCCTGGTTCATAGACTGATGCTCAACCACTGAGCCACACCGGCCCGCAGGGGCGACCATCCTCATTTTAGAGAAGAGGAAATGGAAGCCAGGCGGTTGGTAGAACCTGCTTAAGGCTACACGGCAGAGGAGAGGAAAGCTGAGCAGGTCCTGCCCTCCAGGAGAGAAGGTGTGCTGCAGGAGAGACCAGTCTGTCCCAGGGGACAGCCGTCCCTGCGGAGGGTGAAGGGGATTGGACAGGTGCTATGCTGGGCAGCCAGGTGGGGAGGCGGGGGAGGATGCCAGAGGTGAAAGACGGCAGGTGTGTTCTAGAAACAAGTGCAGCCAGTATGTTGTGGGCGAGGACTAACGCAGGACTTCAATAACTGTAGGGTCCTCTGTAAGAAAAAATAACGTTCAAATCCTACTTTTGCAAATTCTGCAAAAACCATTGAACACAGTGCCAAGTCCTTCCAGGGCCTGGGCAGGGGCTCCTGCAAAGGGGTGGGCCCTGAGGCTTGTCCTCCCATTGCAGGTGACAGTCTCTGTGTGCCGAGGGCTGGGCACAGGGGCGGGTAGGAGTCCCAGAGGTCACGTTGCCAAACACCTGCTCGGAGCCTGGATTTCAGCTGGTGCCGCCTCGTGGGGATGCGTAAACCAGGGCTCAACCTTGGGCCCACAGTGCAGGCAGCACACAGTGTGAGAGCAGGCAGCACACAGTGTGAGAGCAGGCAGCACACAGTGTGAGAGCAGGCAGCACACAGTGTGAGTGCAGGCAGCACACAGTGCCAGAGCAGGCAGCACACAGTGTGAGTGCAGGCAGCACACAGTGTGAGCGCAGGCAGCACAGTGTGAGTGCAGGCAGCACACAGTGTGAGAGCAGGCAGAGCGCTTCAGAGACCAGGAAGCGACTCCCGGGGGACCCTTCCCAGTTGGGCTTCGCTCCCTCTGGCCCCTCAGGGTGTCTAGAACTGGGATCACAAACTGAGAGGCCTCCCCCAGCACCCAACCTCTCCCCCTACCTGCTGGCTCCCTCTACAGGCCACACTGGGTGGTTTCTAGGGGTCAGCTGGTCTCCAGCTGTGCCTGGAGCACGTGGCCCTGGGCAGATGCAAGCAGAGCAGTGAAGGCGGAACTGAGCCTAGAGCCTAGAACGGGGCTGGGGGCAGGAGAGGAGGGTGCAGTGAGGTGCTCCGGGCGGGCAGTGTCCTGGCCTCTCCCCTGTGGTGCTGGGAGGCACAGAGAGCACAAAGCCCTTCTGTGGAGGAGCCCGCTGAGGACTGGAATGGGGTGCATGTGTGCGTGCATGTGTGCGTGCAGACACACTTTCTGAACTTATGCCCAAAAAACAACTGGGTATCAGTGGAGACTGGGTTGTGGTCCAGGGAGGAGGCCTGGACAGAGTGAGCCACAGTCAGAAAGGGTGTCTGGAGCAGGAGCTCCTCCATGGTGCTGGGAGGGGGTCCCTGTCAGCCTGAGCCTTCACAGACACGCAGCCACTCGGCTCACCTGGCCACCAGCGCAGGGGGTGCGAGGACCGAGGATGCCTGGCCAGAGATGGGCAGAGAGGAGGTAAATGAGCACAAAGCAGGGAGGGCCGCAGTGAAAGCGGGGGGTGTGGTAGGCAGAAGCAAGGCTCCCCAAGATCCTGTGTCCTAATCCCTGGAGCCTGTGAATCAGAATTTACAGGCAAAGAGGAATTAAGGACCCTCTTGGGCCTTCTTACCCTGACCATCCGTCAAGATCGGAAAACCTCACTCTGGCTGCTCCGTGGCATTCAGTACGGAAGCCCAAGCCCGAGGGCTGCATTCCTTGCTGCATCTTCTCTCCATATAAAAGGCTAATATGCTAAGTGTCCGTCGGGTAATGCTGTCACATAGCAACGCCCGGCTTCCTCTCCCTAGCGACCACTAGCCTCCTTGCAGTTTCTTCTGCCCAGGAACAGGACTTGCTTTATAGCCAGGTGCAGACATTTCACACTAACCAAATGTCTGTGAAGCGTTTTCCTGCCTCATCTCATCTGATCCTCACAGAAGTCCTGGAGTAGGTACATAGGAGACTCGGTAGAATCCTATTGTCTTTTCATTCGCCAGAAAACGGAGATTTAGAAAGCTCAGAAACTTGACCTCAGCTGAAAAGAAGACATGGTGGACCTTGAAAATGATTTCAGGTTTCCTCCCTGAGGCTAAGTTACTCACGCATGCGCAATACATATAAAGCTCTCGCTAGCGCCAATGGCACATGTGTGTTTCAATCTGTCATTGTCGATCGTGAATTTGGTTGACACTTCTTTATAGAGAAAGGGCAAATAGCGATATTAAAGTATTTCTTCTAATTAATTTCCTTTCAATGTGCACGAATCTGTGCACCGGGCCACTAGTAGTTAATAAAAAGCCAACACACGGCTGCGATCAGCTCCCAGGCTGCAAGTTTCCCTGCAAAGAGGAATTAAGTAGCTAATCGGCTAACTGTAGGGAGATGTGGACTCTCCACCTTGGCCCCGTGTAGCAATAATCACAAGTGTCCTTAACCCTGGACATGGAGGGCAGAGGGGAGTCGGAGAAAGGTGTGAGGAGGGACAGTCAGAGTGCCGGCTGAGGACCCCGTCTCCTTCCCCGGCTTGAAGATGGAGGGAGGGGCCGCGAGCCAGGGTAGCCCAGGCGGCCTCTGGAAGCTGGAACTGTAAACAGGTTCTTGCCCCGAGCACGGAATGCAGCCCTGCCCACACCCTCATCTCAGCCAGTGAGTTCATTTCGGACTTCTGACCTCCAGGACTGAGACGGTGAGTGTGCTGTTTGAGCCACCGAGGTTGTGGTCACTGGTTACAGCAGCCACAGGAAACTAACCTAGTGGAGAGGGCAGAGGGCCTGGGTAGAGGAAGGGCCCCAGGTCGATGGTGCTCCTTGAACCACCAAGACGGGGTGTCTGTGCCATCGGCAGGCGCAGCCTCTTAGATGAGTCCCGTTCTCTTCCCAGCTTTCCGGGCACAGGACTTCCCCAACCTCCAGATGATGCTCACCCACGGGAACAACGCCCAGGTTATCCTGTTGTGCAGCTTCCTGTGGGGTCCACAGCGCCCCCGAGCGCCGGCCTGACGCCATCCTTGCCCAACAGGACCTGTGGGAAACAAACTGCCCCTGCCCTGGCCCTGGCCCTGGGAGCCCTCAGGGAGGGCTGAGAATCGCCCAAACCTCCTGGGTTCTCTGCCATCTCCCGACACACTGGGCCCCACCCCCAGGGGTGAGGAGGCACCTGGTGACAGGGGGCTCAGGGCCACAGGACAGGGACAAAGGCCCAGCAGCCTCTGTCACTCCTTGTTCCCTGCCTCCCCGCAGAGCTCCTGCCTTGGTTCCCACCACGAACCCCAAACCTCTCTTGGACCTTCTTACTCTGACCAACCACCAAGATTGGAAAACTGCACTCTGGCTGCTCCGTGGGTGCAGCAGGGAGCCCGAGGGCTACATCCCTTGGCGCATAGTTAATAAAAAGCCAACACGCAGCTGTGGTCAGCTCCCAGGCTGTAATCGCACACTTGCATTACTCATGTCATAAACACCAAAGCTGCTGGAAACGGATTTTATTATTAATAAGTCACATGGTACAAAACAATCAGAATATTCAAAGGACATTTAGTAAAAGGCTTTGTCCAAAGGACAGGCAGAAAAGGTTAAGACACAATGGATGCTTAGAAAACAGGAGAAAGACAGGAGTAAAAACAAGTAATTTGTGTACACACACGCCCGTCACACCCACATGCCCCCTGGGCCCATCAGATAAGAATTCACTTGGCATCAAAACAGTGTGTGGGATAGAGGACCGGAGGGCTGGGAGCCAGACGGCAGGCGGGCGCCAGGAGGTGAGTGACTCCAGGCTGGGGCACCTATTTACTATGACAAATAAGGAAGCCCCTGCTGCCCGAGGCAAGCCCACCTCGCACACCTGGAGTGTCCAACGTCATCAAGGGAGGAGGTGGCTCTGGCCTCTGGAGACAGGCGGCTGGCATTTCCTCGCCCACGTCCCGCCAGGAAGGGGAGACAAGGCGAGCCCTGTGCTGGCTGAGCAGGCGCCTCTTCCCTGCACAAAGTCCCAGGAGGCTGGGCCAGGCCCCCCCGAGTAGCCCAGGGCCGGGGAGGAGCTCCTGGGCTGGCTGTGCCCAGCGCCTCATTCGCCTTGGCCATTTGTTCCCAAGAAAGAGACCGGCTGCTGGGGTGGGACTTCCCGCATGGCCGGCCCCCAGGGCCAGGCCCGATGGTCACCTCTGACGGGGGCCGGGCTCTGAGGTGTGGGGTTCTCTTGAGTTGCCCCAGAGTTTACAGGCTTCCAGGAACCAAAGCAGCCGAGTAAAAACCAAAACAAACCTGAAGCCCCGGGGGGTTGGGAGCTTCTCCAGTGGGGGTGGGCGTGGGGGTCGGGGGCCTGCTGGTCCCGGACAGCCCCTGCAGCATGACATCACCAGAGCTAGCAAAGAGGCACTTTCCGGCTGGTCGGTCAGTGTCTCCTGCCCACAAGAGAGGCCTGAGTGAAGGGCACAGGGTGCCCCTGCTGAGCTGGGCCCTGCCCAGCTCCCTCCTCCCATCCAGCCAGGGAGGGCACGAGTGCGGGCCTCTCCTCCCGTTCTGCCACCTGCCATGGTTCAGCTCTGGCGGCCCCGGCCCGCCCCGACAGGGACGCCCGCCTGGCAGCATGGGGGAATGCTGGCCGACGAAATGCGGGGATGTGGTCACCAAAGTCCAGGGAATAGACCGAAGACACACACTGGACCTGCAGGTCCCAAGCCCTATTCCTCGACCTCCTGCCATGGGAGCCGCCAGTGGGGGCTTCAGAGCAGGGAACACTGTCCATGTTGAGAGGGGCACACAGGCGAGTCCCTGGGTGGAAGGGGGAGACTGGGGCTGATCAGATGGTCCTGAGATGGCAGCGGGGCCCACAGTGCAGAAGGGCAGGCTGGAGAGGGACCGTGTGGGATCCCTGAGCCAGCTGGGCACAGCCCAGGCACCACCCCAAGCACAGAAGTCCCTGCTCCACGCTTCGAGGTAGCCTTCTTCCCAACTCGAGGGCCACCCCTGGCCCTGCCCTCCTGTGCCCTCCTCCTGCCGGCACTGGCACCACGGCCTCAGCTCTGCTCCAGGTGCTCGCTGGGCTGCACCACGGTGTAGCTCCCCTGGCCCAGGGAGAGCTGCCGGCTGAAGAAGGACGTGGTGCGCTTCGGTTTCACCGGCTTGATCTGCTCGCCTGTCGGGGAGTGAGGACCGCACTGAGGAGAGGGCTTCCCGGGACGGCCCCGCCCCCAGGAAGCCTGGTGTGGGCTGAGCTCCCCTCTTCACATCTGCCAGCTCTGGCCTCACTCGCCCACCCCCACTCGTCCACCTGACGGGATGGGTGGGTGGACGTGTCACCAGCCCCCAGTCAGAGGCAAATCAGTGTCTGAGTTGGATGCGGGGCCAGCCGTGGTACCTGAGGAGCTTTTGCTAAAACCTATTCAAGAACAGACCGAAGAAACCAAGCACCTGCAGCCTGCAGGACAGCTGAAGGTGAGCCCCAACGAGGCAAAAGAACCCTTACAAGTTCACAATTTCAAGCAGGTGGCCAAGGTCAACACCAACAGCCATAAGTCGTGTTGCTAGGGAACCTGTGATAGGAAGCGGTAGAAATGCGGTAGGCCCTCCACCTCTGTGATCTTCCTCCCCCTAAGCCGTAAGCCCAGCCTAATTCTGAGAAAAACATCAAACTCCAGTGAAGGGGATCCTACCATGTCCCTGACCACCCCCCACAGCTGCCAAGGTCATCAAAAGGAGTCAGAAACGGTCACAGCCAAGAGGAGCCTAATACACATGCCACTGAACGCAGTGTGGGGTCCAGATGGTTCATGAAATAAAACACATGAGGCTACACTAAGGACTTTAGTTAATAATACAATCAGCCCTGGCTGGTTTGGCTCAGTGGATAGAGCATCAGCCTGCAGACTGGACTGAAAGGTCCGGGTTCGATTCCAGTCAAGGGCACATGCCTGGGTCGCAGGCTCGATCCCCAGTGTGGCAGGAGGCAGCCAATCAATGATTCTCTCTCATCATTGATGTTTCTATCTCTCTCCCCCTCTCCCTGACTCTCTGAAATCAATAAAAACAAATTACAATATCAATATTGGTTCATTAATTACATATATATGCCATGTTAATGGAAGATGTTAATTTTTAAAAATCAAGCAAAAAGAGCCGAAACCGGTTTGGCTCAGTGGATAGAGCGTCGGCCTGCGGACTGAAGGGTCCCGGGTTCGATTCCGGTCAAGGGCATGTACCTGGGTTGCGGGCACATCCCTAGTAGGAGATGTGCAGGAGGCAGCTGATCGATGTCTCTCTCTCATCGATGTTTCTAACTCTCTATCTCTCTCCATTCCTCTCTGTAAAAAAACCAATAAAATATATTTTAAAAAAAAAAAAAAAAATCAAAAAAAAAAAAAAAAAATCAAGCAAAAAGAAAAGGAAAACAGGCAACATAAGTGAACAATAATTCATAAAGAAAAGAGAAATGATCAAGCACATAAAAATGGTTCAACTTCACTAGAATTCAAACAGCAACCCACACGCATCTCTCCCTGGACAATAACACTCACCACCTCCCAGACGTGAAAGACTAGGAACTCCCAGTGCCCGCGCGCCAGGTGTGGGTGCAGAAACGACGACCTCATCGCGAGTGGCAATGCAGACTTCACCAGTCCTTCCACAGGGTCCTGTCCGCTGCAGACACTGGGAGTTTCTAGTCTTCTCGTCTGGACAGTCCTGTGTGAACACGTCTGTGGACGCAGCAGTGAGAAGGGGCAGAGCAGAACTCTTACCGCCAGGACCCCAGAGGGCACAGCTTTGTTCGGATCACAGAGCTGATGTGACGCTCACACCCAGCCCTCCTCTCAGCCAGAGGCTCCCGGCCCTCCCTCCCCTCAAGCTCCCCGGGGCCTGCACACTTGTACCACGAAGAGGTCACTCACCCTCCTCCACATAGTCGATGGTGGAGAGGTGCTGGATCCGGCTGCACACCACGCTGCCCTGTCTGCGTAGCTGGGGGCGCTGAGTGGGAGGTGGCAAGGAGCCGGAGGCGGAGGAGGGGCCGGAGGCGCCCTCCTGGGGGGCAGTGGGCTCTGCGGCCTGGCTCAGCTCGATGCAGTACTCGATGAGGCTGCTCATCAGTTCAGCCTGGGGAGGGAGAGGCCAGCGTGAGGACGGGAGGGGCAGCCAGGGCCAGGCCCAGCCTTTCAGCCCCTGCGAGCGAGAGGAGCCAGATGGCTGTCCCTGCCCCTCTCTAGTGGGGGAGGCACATGAGGAAACAAATACCATCCACACAAGAAAGCCAGTGGGGGCAGGAGCTCTGTGGGCCTGCGGGCAGGGCAGGCGTCCCACCTGAGGTGATGTTAGGGGTCCGTCCTGGGGCATGAGTAGGGGTCCCAGGTCTGGGAGGTGGGAGGGAA